GGTTCAAAGTCCATCTCTCCACTTCATTCTCAAGTTGTGGATTTTAAGTTCAGAGCCATAAAAGCCACAGGTCCATGTCCTGCTGTCCCAGCCAGTCCTTGGCATTTTTCAGGGCAGCAATCCCAAAAATCCTGGGAATGCTGGCACTGGGAGCCCTGGCACCTCCAGCATGGGATGGGATAAATTCTCTTCACGTGGCCATTGTTTAATCCCACTTTGGGATTTCCAGAGGATCCTCCAGCAATTCAATGCTTCTGTAAACCTCCAGCTCCCCATGGCTCTGCTTAGGACATGGAGAATTTGGGAATTATCAGAGTCCCTCAGCAAGGAGCTGCAAGTTCCTGTGTCGATTTTTGGAGCTTTTTGTGTTGAGTTTTGGAGGTTCCTGGGTTGCTTTTTGGAGGTCCCTGGGTTGATTTTTGAAGGTTCCTGGGTTGCTTTTTGGAGGTCCCTGGGTTGTTTTTGGGAGGTTTCTGGGTCGCTTTTTGGAGGTTCCTGGTTTGCTTTTTGCAAGTTCCTGTGTTGATTTTTGGAAGTTCCTGGGTTCCTTTATGGACATTCCTGGGTTGTTTTTTGGAGGTTCCTGCGTTGATTTTTGGAGATTCCTGCGCTGTTTTTTGGACATTCCTGGGTTGTTTTCTGGAGGTTCCTGGGTTGACTCTTGGGTGTTGCTGGGTTGATTTTTCAGACACTGCCTGCTCTCTGATCCCTATCAGTCCTCCAGGAAAACAATCAGGAGCTCAGGGGGAAGGAGGGCGTGAGATAATTGTCTGAGCCCATGTCAGCAGCCTGTGATTAAGAGTGAACATGGAACTGCTTTGTCAACACAATCACAAACAAATCTACCACGAAATCAGCAGGGGCTTGGAGATTAAATTACATTAAATTAGATTTTTGTGAAATCTATCAGACTCCATTAGGGCGAGGAGAAAGATTTGGTTACACAGCGACGGGGAATTGGCCCTTTGAATGTTGCTGCTCACAAACATTCCTGCAGGGAAAAGCACTGGTTGCTTTTCTAATTGAGGGAAGGGAGGGCACAGGCTCCCTTCACACAGGCTGGGAGTGCTGGGAGTCCATTCTCCTTGGGCTTTCCTCATCTTTCAATTCTTCCCAGGCACGTCAGGAGGCGGGCAAAGCCTCCTTTGAACCCTGGAGGTGATGAGAAGTGTCCCCTTCATCCTTCCCACCAAAGCCCAGCCACCAGGCTGAGGTGGCTGATGTCCCACCCATCGTGGGGTTGTTTCTGAGCTGTCCCAAACCTGTCCCTTCACAGCCACCACCTTTCCAGCCTCTGTCCTTTCCGCTGAGAAATCCCAGGACAAATCAGCCCTGCATGGGATAGGAGTGAAATCCTCTTTTTAGCCCTTAAAATGTGCATTGGGTGTGACTCCAAATGTTAAACCCAGAGCTGCAGGCAGAGAAAACAGTGTCAGGTTTGATTTTATTGTTGTTATTGCAAAAACTTGTTTATAATACTGAGGCAAGGGAGGGATCAACACTTCAGGCTTCCAGCAATCCCCAGAGCTGAGGATTCAGGAGATGCTCCAGGGAAATTCCCAACAAACCAGAAGGGCTTCAACCCCCTCTGCCCAGTCCCTCCCAATCACCCCCATGCCCAGGTCCCATCCCAGTTTCCAGGGTTTGGGATCAGGCTCTGGAGTGCAGCAGGTGTTTCCCAGCAAGGAGGAGGAGCAGCAGTGATGTCTCCAAACCATCCTCACTGTCCGGAGCAGCTCTCCATCTGGGAGCCAACAAATTCCCCATTCATGGTTCATATTTCAAGCCCTTATTCCATTTGAAATTTACCCACATCCCTAATTCAGTCCGGTCTCAACAGCTGAACCTTTAAAAATTGAAGTGGCTGATGTCAAGATGGGCTTTGTTCATTTGTTCCAGCTTTAGGAGCCAAATCCTGAGATCCTTCTGTTCAGGTGCTGAGACCTTTTGTTCCTGGTGTGGCTCCGGGCTGAGCAGGAGCCCCTGGCTGCCCCAGCCCAGGTGATGCCGTGCTGGTGGAGCTGGGGTGGCCAAGGACCAGCTGGCAGTGCCTGCTGAGGCTTTAATCCACCAGCTGAGAGCCCTGGGTGGCTCCTGGGCACAGCCACAGTTGGCAGAGCTGGATGCCCACGAGCTGTAAATACCCAGGATGCTGGTCCCCCTCATCCCAAGGGTAAAAAACCATGGAGTAATTCACCTTGGGGTGTGCATCTCCAGGGAGCCAGAAATACAAGGGGAAAAAAACCAAATTTAACCAGATCCTTGGTGAGCTCCAAACCTGAGGGATCTCAGGGACAGGTTTTGCAAAGGAAAATACATCTCATTTAAGACATGCAGCTGGGAAAATGTTTTCAATCAGTCACTGGGAGCTGGTGTGAGAGGAGAACCAGAGGGATTCTCTGTGTTTGAGATAAAAGGGTAACCTGGGAGGGAGGGGAACATGTCCAGCCAGGCTGCAGGGCCTGGCCTGGGGCTCCTGCTCCTCAGCCTTGGCCAAGTCCTGGCATCACCTCTCAGCTTCTCCACCAGCACCTCAGGGCCATCATTCGTGTCCCCAAAGCTCCCTGTGACCCCAGGATGGATTTGCTGAGCGGGGTCAGGTTTAAGGTTTGTGGTGAGGTCTGTGTGGGCACTTCCCACCAGACCCATTTCGGTGACAACAAATTAAAATCCCTTTTCTGCCCCAAAAAAGGCTCTGCACCCCCACTCTCGCTGCCACGATGTCTTCTCCTTCCCTCTGCCTCCTTTTTCAGGGTTCAGTGGTGAGCAAAATGCTCCAGGTTTTTGGAAAGAGGCCTCGAGGTTTGCAGTGGTGTCGATGTGTTTAAATGTCTGCCCTGCGAGGGTGTTTTGGGGAGAATTTCCAGAAGGACCTGTTTTGGCCCCTCTGTTTGAGGAGGAGGATGTCATCCTCAGGCCTCCTGAAAGCATCTCCTCGGAACACCAGATGGGGAAAATGTGAGAAATGCTGCTTTTCTCATGTGTTTAACAAATGGCCTCCTTTTTCCTGCCCCTTCCTTTCTTTCTGCTGTCCAGGAGTTGACTTTGGACAAAAAGTTGACTTTTTTAGTGGTGAGTCATTGATGCCTCCCTTTATTCCAGCCACATCCTGAGCTCCTCTCTCAGTGTAACCCTTTGTCCTGTGTCACCAGAGCTCGGGGTGGGATCCCAGTGGGGACAGCAGCACGAG